CATCAGGCCACGAGTCTCATCACCTGACAATTGCATCTAGCATGAAACAGACTGTTGCCTCTAAGTGTTGACTTCTATGTTCACTTTTATATTTATATATATGTTTTAAGATATGCTATATTTATCAGTTAAAATACTCAATATCAGGGATAGAGCATATGTAAATATAAAAGTGTAAATTGAGGTCATCACCCAGACATTCTGTTTCATGCTAAACACAATCGTCAAGGCAGATGATTGTGCTTAGCATGAAACATGAAACAGACTGTCACCTCTGGGTGTTGACCATTACCCCATGACAAAGCTGTTTAAACCATTAGACTGGAAAGCAGATAATTTTTCACTCATCTTATTCGTATTAAAAACAGAAATCTGAAAGAAACTGACCCCCCCCCAAGCAAATTTCCAACTTACCTCTTCGCATTCCAGAAACCCAAGCAGGACTGTCAATCTCAACATAATCAACATAAGTTGTGATTTCAATTTCATTTGTTTTTTTATGCCGAATGCCGTAAGTCTGAAAGAAATAACATAAGTTCAAAAGTCAATATTTACAAAATGATTATTTAATGGTAATAATAATATTAGCAATTTCCTTCTAAAGAAACATTCAGCATTTGATGACAGAGCAGCCAGTACTGCTGTTGGTTGAAATTTGTAAAACCTTTCCTTTAACCCTAGAACACTAACCATCAATTAAAGTTACCCCACTACTAACCATGGGTATATCAGACCCAATTTTGAAAATATCAAAAAAAAAAAAAAATTAAATATAAATCTTTATTTGAAATATTTTACATGGAGGTACTTCAAACTTTGTACTTTGAGTTGACATTAATATGAACTGAAAAACATGTTTAGGTAAGAAAATCAGGTACTGAAAATTGTAATTAAAAATAGGAAAATTTGTGCTGGGTACTATATACCCATGGTTAGTGTTCTAGGGTTAAAAAACAATTTTTCAGGAAAACAGGTTTGTCAACTTCAGTAGCTGTCATCACCTTTTCAGTATTGATTGGGGAGGTTTCCTTCCTAATCTTTTGTTTGAAGTAGTGTGGAATGTCAACACCTTGAAAAAAAAAATAATAATAAAATAATGTCCCTAAATACAGTACTAAATTACAAATGTAAATGTTTCAGTTATATTTATCTAGGTAAATTCGCAGTCTTAAAATGCAATTTTAATTATGAATCTAGTTCTCTAGTAAATATTTTCTTAGCAAAAACATGCTTATAGCTAATTAATATTTGATTAGCATACAAGTCTTTGATTTTGTTAAGATTTCTATATTTGTGGCTATCTTCTTCACAACATTATTTACATAGAGAAAGGATGAAAGCAAGTATTAAAAACATGCTTGTAACTAATCAATATTTGATTAGAAAACAAGTCTCTAACATTTGTTAATATTTTCATATTCATTCTCATCACTATAAAATAACGACATTCAGATCAACAACTATTCCTACTCAATAACCTTTTGAATAACCATTATGACCTACCCAATAACCATTAGGATAATATAATTGACCTTACTCCTGAAGAAGGCCAGAGTATACAACAGCCGAAATGTCATGAATATGGCAATAAAGATGACAACAGTCCAAACAATGTAAATAGTCTAAATAGTTGCAATACCTCATTTCAGAAATATAGACAGATGATGAAACAGACTATCGCCACTTTTATATTTACATATGCTCAACCCATAATATTAACTCTATATACACACACACACACATAAACCGGCCTTGTGCCACATGCAACCCTCATGGGAGGTAGCTAATTATACTAGCTGGGATCTGTTACTCAACTCTTAGCTGTTGTTGAACTCTCTGCATTGTTGTATAAACATAAAGTAATTTATAAAAGCTGACTCGTAGGCTCGGCCAAAAATATTCCCTTTTGAAACCGTATAAATGGGTTCAGAGTCAGTCAACCTCCCCGAATGAGAGACTGCCCTTCAGCGGAGCCTAGTCCAGGTTTCTCTCTGCTCAGAGGCAGAGAGTTCAACTGTTTAGCTGAAACAGATCCCAGCTAGTCTCTGTAGTCCATTGACTTACAGCTACTTATAGGTAGTTACTACCTATAGTGTAGTCACTCATGGTGGTGACAGGTTATTCCATTACATCAATAATACTAAGCAAAAAATATGTAAGTCAAAACTAGGCAACAGTAATAAAGCAAAATGTTTGTAAAGTAAGAATGGTGATAACATGCAAAAGGGATACAGTCAAGTGATTATATCATTCTAACTTAAAGACAAGAAAGAACAATAATATGGTGGATGAGACAGATATTTTGTCATTTTTTATTGGTTAGAAAGAAATTCCAGCATGCATCTGTAGGATTGTGTAAAATTTAAGGAGATGGTGTTCTTAGCTGTCGTTCCAAACGGACTGGAAACAAATATTAGAAATCTGATGAATTTTTACAAAGTAAAATCATTTCTTAAAAATCAGCATTTCTCATTTGTGAAAATTACAAATCTTTTTTTCATTAACGTCAGCTTTTATAAATTACTTTGTGTTTATACAAGAGAAAATTTGTCGTCATCATTTCAGGCCATTTTTTTTCATTATTCTAGACATCTCTTCTTCCAAGTAATCAGTTTTTGCTGACAAGAGAGAATACCATAAATAAAGTTTGTAAATAATATCAATTTACAGAATGAGAAGGGTGTGGCTGCTTGTAAAGAAAGCCAGTTAATAAAAATAATATATCTAAAAGATCACTGCACAGTGAAACTGCTTCTCTGTTAAAATTTCAAACGATTCAAAATCCACTACAGTCAATTCAAGTAAACAAATTGATTATATACAATAAAAAGAGTACTGGTAAGTGAGAAATTAATAAACTCAAAGTTGACATAGGATAAGTACTGAACTTTGTCTCGAATTCAAAGTTATATATATATAATATATAATATATATATATATATATATTATATATATATATATATATGTGAAAAGCGTATGTAAATAAATATATATATATATATAATATATATATGTGAAAAGTGTATATAAATAAATATATATATGTATAATTATTTATATATTATATGCACGGTACTTATTAGTAAGCGCTCAATATCAGAGATAGAGCTAACATATTTGGTTGGATAGATCTATCCAACCAAATATATAATATATATATATATATATATATATATATATATATACACACACAGAGACATACAAGTATAGGATTGGTGTAGACGGAATAAATTCCAATAACCAAAAATACTATTCTTAAAAGAGTGCTCAATACAGAACAGAGCAAATATTATTTATTCAAAAATTATAACATAAATATGTTATAACATCACTACAAAAATAGCCATTTTGTTTCAACACTTCTGGTGTCTTGTCAAGTGATAGTGTTGTAATTATTTTTGTAGTGATGTTATAACATGTTTATGTTATAATTTTTAAATAAATACACACACACACTATATATATATATATATATATATATATATATATATATATATATAAGCAAGGAATAAGCGTAATTTAAAAGGCATATCAGTGTAAATTTAATAGCTAAAAAACAACCGGTTTTGCCCCAGTCTTATCAAGTTTAATTCTGGAAAATAAAAGAATAAACATGTAAATTAATTAAAGATGACTAATGAAGGGGGAGAAAAAAAAAGTTTTTCAAGGAAAACTAGAGACCAATAATATTCAGACACAGCAAGCAATCCCTCTGTTTATAGAGGGGAGGCTTGCAAGATCTGATATATAAGGACCCCAGAACCTTGAGATGATATAAAGAGTGGGACCTTGATAGAATAGAAAAACAGTATACACTAAAGTCAGTAATACAAATCCTGCTATTCATAATGTGTTGTGCAATAGACAACCCGGATGTATTAACTAGTTGACTATTCCTAGTGGCCGGATTCAAAATCCTGGGAGGTAAATTCTGCTTTATCCTATAATCCAATATAGTCCCTATGTAGTAGAGTTCACAACTCTATTCATATTTGTAAATAACTGAGTTAACATGATGTGGGGTGGAGAACATTCTTACAAATGGAAGAAAGAATAGGTCAAGTAACAAATATTACTCAAACATTAGTAGAAAAATAACAACTGTTGATTGCAAACGAAATTCACCAAGCTAAAGACTCACCCTCTGAACCAATAAAGGGAAGATGCAAATAGACAGGACATTATACATTTTATATATATATATATATATATATATATATATATATATTTAAAATAATAGGAAAGAACAGTGATATTTATAATTCAGAGTTCTTAGCTTTTATTTTTATTTTTAAAAAACAGTGCTCAATATGATCCATAGAGCATAATATTATATAATATTAAAAAAATATGATCCCATCATGACAGAACATCCTATGTATCAAAACAGAAAACTCCAAATTTAGACTAATTTTAAAGATTAAATGTACAATCCAGAGTTTTGTTCCATTCTCAATTGATTATTTAATCTTTAAAATTAGTCTAGATTTGAAATTTTCTGTTTTTGAAACATAGGATGTTCTGTGTCGTCGATGGAATCATATTTTCAAAAAAAATAATATATATATATATATATATATATATATATATATATATATATATATATATATATACAGTGTAACCCGGATATAAGAGATTTTCTCTGGTCCCAAATTAGAGCCTGTGTTAATGTATACATATAGACCAAACCCGGATATAAGAGACTTCTTCTCTGGTCCCGACAACTCTCTTATATCCGGGTTACACTATATATATATATATATATATATATATATATATATATATATATATATTTGGGCAGCAACCTATCTTTCATTAAAAGCCATTTTCAAGGTTGTTTTGTCTCTGGTGTTTATTCTGAGCCTTCACATACTGTGCAAAGGTTTGGAATGAACACTCCTATTCAAAACAATGCAAAAATAAATTACAACATAACAGTCAAAACATGAGAAAAAAAGAATTTCCTTAAGATATCATTTTATAATCAGCTACCTAACATCACCTGAGGAAGTACAATCATAGTATTGAAACATGAAAGCTTTTGTGTAGTGATTTAAAAGTGTTTTTATTATAACCTCTTATGATAAAAATATATATATATATGTATGGGTGTGTGCATGTGTGTGCAAAGAGTGTTTATAAATGTCTAAATACAGGTGTTTCTGTAACTGGTCAAGATCTTGATCTTTGTAAAATGCCTTATGCCCATAAAAACTGGGGAAAAACCAACAGTCAGCAAGACATGGTGTCTTGCGAACTCAGTCCCGTGAGCATTTTTGGCCTAAAGTTTCTGAAGCAGTGTTATTTTTGTTACCTCCTGCCTCTTTCCCTTGTTGTTGCTGGGAGAGTAATCGGTTAGGTATTTCCCCCAGCTTCAATTTCAATACACTCTTGCCATATATTACAGCATATATATATATATATATATATATATATATATATATATATATATATATAGTTTATGAAAAACTAGGTAATCCATATAGGTAAACCTAAGGAGGATAAAATCCAGAGAGC